GAGGAACTGTCTCGGGTGGCTGTTGCCTCGCTGTCCTCACTATCCGGTGGGGGTGCAACTCTTTGTGTCCCGCCTCGGGCCGAGCCCGGCAGTGGGAGCGGACTGGCGTCGTTACGCGTCCGTTGTTGCAACAACTCTTTATCAGGGGGTGACAGTGGCTTATAAGAGATTGTCTGCGCGTTCTCTTTTGGCCTGGTTGGCCGCATTGGGATAACGTCACGCGACCAATTGACCCTGGGGCTTTGTGCCTTGCATACGCTCGTGTGCGTGCGTGCATGCGTTAAGGTCATCCCGCGTACAAAGTCATCGCCTGTTATGCGACCAGAGTTAACCAACAAAGACATTTTGGCCAGGCTCGAGGCCTTAGGAAAGGCTCCAAACGTTGCTAGCATTTGGTTTGGCTAACATCCTAACACTAATACGTGTCTTAAAGTAACTGAAAGAATGAATACAGTACAGAAGTTTGAGACTTACGTAAAAAGGGTATTCAAGTAAAAGTTCAGTCCTGGAAAAGAGGGATCCTTCAACTCCCCGAAGGCCAGCCTTGAAGAACAAATAATATAGCGAAAAATTATGCAGGGAAACAGACCCTTAGCTCAAGTAACAAGGAATAAAGTGCATGAACAACAACCAAAGACTAGCACAAATTAAATCATAGTAAAACTCACGAAGACGACAAATTGCTAAGAGAAAATATGAGACGCCCTAGGAGCAGACTGCCGTTTTATTGATTACTGAATTGTTTAGTTCATCAGCAGGTTTGCTCACGTTAATTATTCATTAATTAACCCCAGCAACAGACTTCGAGTTAAATCTGAATCACATATACTCCAATTAAGTGTTCTTTCTGATTATATCTGAAAAAACCCACAAAAAATGAAGCTGCTTTGTTGAGCCTGCATTGTTTGCCAGTTAACCCTTGCGTACACGTGAGAGGGTGCAAGGGGCATGAGGGCAAGCCACAACTTCAATCGGTCGGTACCCGTTACCGGCGACAGCTAAACCGTTACAGGGATGGCATTCGTTAACGCAAACAAACTACGGGCAGGGGTGCGAATCTACTATTGGCGGACAACCATGGTATCACTTAAGCAATCAAATACGCGTAAATGTACTACCTTGATTTCACAGAGGAATCAAAGCGTACTTAAACATCGGATAAACAGGGAAAACATACTCTGAATAAGCGCATGAAGCAACAATTTGCTAGGTCTGACAATCATTTCACGTTATACTGTCCGGCAATTACACTCGGCGATGACCTCCTCGACCTTTCAGTTGGTTCATATACACGCGAAGTTCTTTTGTTTTAAGAATACTTGCGAAAGATGATAGAAGCAAATAGCCCATGTAAACAGAGTAGCTAAGGCGGCAGTGGAAATGCAACTGTCTACACCAGTAACTCCATGTCGTGGCGCTTTGGTTCTAAACCTCTCCGCTCCACCCCCTCCCCCACTCCCCACACACTTATTGGCGGAACAGAAAGAGATATAGAGTCGGCTTACCGCTTCCAAATGTCCAGTGCGGTTGACAGGTCGCCCTGCCAACTGCAAAGCAGGGCGTGAGCATGATGGGCTCCGTGCTCAGACAGGAAGGTAAAGAGGTCCTTCACATCCACATTGCGAAAAGAAGCTATCAGGGCCTCCCAGCTGCCATAGGTGGCGGACAAGGAAGATTCAGGGGTGAGAAGATCAGAGGACACGTAGTCCTGGAGGAGAACGCATAGCTTGAAGAGCGCCGTTTCAACAAACTAGACGGAAACAAAAACGGCGCGTTAGGAGCATTCTTATTATTACAGTTAGTACAGTTAACACGAACATGTGAAATCTGGTTTGAGACTTTGACGCGATTGGTAATCACCTCGTTTTTAATGGCTAAACAATTTACGGATTTAAGATCGGAAAATCCCCTTCAAAAAGACAAACACGTTATCATAAAGTGTTCTGTATCATTCGACAGGTGAACAACTATAGAGAAGGAAATTTTCCAACGTTAACCCAGCTATCGAATAGTAATAATAGACCATCTAAGTAGGTAAACTACTGCTAAACTTAAAGCAGACACATAGGATTCCGGACAAAATACAGTTAGTATAAATGGAATGATTGCAGAGGATAGTTCTTTTTCAAAACGGTTAGGAATATACAACATGACAACGGTAGAAAAAGTGACACAATTAAACTAAGAGGCGACCTATACACTCACGAAGACTTACGGTTCTCTGACAATTTAAACAACAATAACTCAATGTCACGCGTTTGGACGCCTAGCGTGGTCATATAGTTTTGGAAAAACTAGCTCTCCCTCATTTTTCCTTGTCCTAAAAACAAACCGTAATCCTAACCCTCACTTCAAGTCTAATGTCCCTGAAATTTAGCACAAATCCACAGGACATTCTGCCCTATCCTGCCAGGAAGGAAGTAAATAAAAGATCGCAGCCTTTTTTATAACCAAGCACTCTTTCGTGGCACTACCTTATTCGCTCTTTTGGCATGCATCGCGTTCCGGCGACAAGACAAAGTCCACATAATAGGTAGAGGGTGTAGGTGTAGTGGTGGACAAATTCGAACAGCCTGCATACTGGTGCCAGGCGTCATCTGGTCGTCAATTCCACGCGTGCCAAGTTTCACTGAGGAAGTCTCCGATTTTAAGTAAACAAGTACGTCATAAAGGTCAACTCTAATGGGAGCGACTTTAGCCTGGCCCTAAATTTTAAGTAGGGCGGACTTATTCTACCTGTTTACACCTTAACTCGCCGCGATGACTTCAAAGGGCGTTTAGTTGCTGGTAGTGAAGAAATCAAACCCTTGATCTGACCTGCATCCATCACGTCGGCACCTTCCATGGCCCCCTTCAACACAGCGCTGCATTCCCCACCCATTGTTTGGCAGGCATATTGGCGTCACCTCCCATACAGACAGGTCACTACTTGCTGTAACTCATTCCTTATGTAAAAATATTCGATCCGCTTGCATTCTCATTGTACAATTTATTTCCCTCTGAGTTCTTATTCTGCTATGTCAGTTGGATGAGTGATGACCTGCTCAACAACTTTCTTCAGCTCGTTCTAAACCAGGAGTTATTTCCAGTGCTTCAGGTTACCCCGCGCGTGCTATCCTTAACGTCTTCGACCGCTACACAGTGACGCAAAAGTATAAATAGGCTAAGTCCACGGAATCTGAGTTTTGGATCTTGAAAAAAGTCACTCATTCAAATAACAAATATTACAGTTTCCTAAAGGTGACACAAAAAGCGGGGGGACCAAAACCCTCGTCTAGTATTATAATGTACCCCTGCGCTGGAACACTCCAACCAATGAAATCAGTCGACGAAATCGATATTTTGAAAAGGACATTCAGCGCTTTTTAAATCAGGCGTGGGAGACCCCTAACCCAGTTGAGGATCCGTAAGGGCTGCCCAAAAAATAGATCCTAAAAGGCATGGAAACAGGCAGAAGAGAAATAACTCGATCGACGTGGCCAACGAAGCATTCTGCCGGTGACGTAAAGCAAGCAATCTGCTACAGCAGTGAAAATCGAAATCCGGGGATGGAACTTCCCGAAAACCTTTTAATGGGATATAGAATGCAGTGGGCCTTAAACCAACCACTGGCTCTGGTAAATGGACGAAAATGTGTGCATGTTAACGTCTACAAATTGGCTACTCAAAGCCGCACATTCAAAACCTTTCTCCGGGAGGTGAACAAAGAGAGGAAGAAGCAAAAGACGAAAGCGTGCGTAAAAAATCCTAAATATGCCACAGATTATGCTGGTACAGTGGAGCCGCCTGACCCCTTACTTGTTCAATGTACCAAGGCCTCGGATGTGCATGATCTAGCACTGGCAATTCATTTTTGTCACATTGGACACTGTAGAATTAGCGCAATAGCCGACATTGACAGGCCGGATGAAGTGCCACCAAGAAAGCGGCGAGAAAGTAATCAATGGCCAAACGTGAGTGAGTCCGGCCAACTCCTGCTGAGTACTTCACAAATCCACTTGACCTCCGCCATGGCAGAGTGCACACTTGCGAGCGGACTGCGGATAGCCAAAACTTACGGCATTGATGACTTGCAGAGGATATGCGTCGAGTACATTGGCAGGTCGTTGTCCTTGAAGTCCTGTTGGGATCTGTGGAGAGCGGTCTTTCCAAGGTCACGTCTTCAGGAAAGGAACGATCCGCAGGCCCTGTTTCAGAAGGCCATTCCAATCGACGAGAAAGCTGCACAGCTGCTGATTAATTTCGTGCGAACGAACTTTGTGCACATTATGCGATCCGCAAAATGTTCTGACGGGGATGGAGAACCCCTAGAAGGACTTATCAATCTATCAGCATACGAACTGGAATTACTGCTGGATTCGGACAGGCTAAATGTGCGTAATGAGTCGGAGGTTTTGTGGACTCTTAAATTATGGATTGAGGGCAAATCCAAATGCCCCGAGTTAGAGGTCTTCTTGCCACAATGTGTGCCGAGGCTGGTGTTCAAGTGTGTTCGCTCAAAGCAGTTGGCCATGATGGATGTTGACTCGCTGTTGAAACTGCCTGGCATGCGTCAGTCTCGACGCCAACAACATACGGACAATTCTTTGGATGGGTCAACCAAATCCAAGGAGGACAACGTAGATGTGCAAAGCGCCTGTCTGGAGATGCTTCACCAAGCGCGGCGCAAACTTTTTCGTACCCTTCGTAACCTTCGCCCGCTGGTAGATAGTAAAGGACTGGCACATCCAAGTGATGGCGATAATGTGGTCGTGACAACCGGCAGCGGCGGGAAGAGCGTTCTGGGTTTTATAA